TGGCAATAATTCTGGATCAACACAAGTATTCAATCCTGGGAAGTAAAGACACTGTCCAAATCTCCTTGCACCTGTTTCTCCTACTCTGTAGGGCCCACTGAGCCAACCACTTCCCATGGACATACTATATCTGTGGATATGGCCCATGAACTCACAAAGGCAAAAGTCTACTCTAGAGTGGGCTGACATTACTGGCCCAGAGGCAGAAAACCAGCATCTCTGGGTGTGCTAGAGTCAAAGATAAAGAATACAAAAGCAACCATGGGTGTGGTGTCTGACAGGGCCACAGAGGGGCAGACCATTGGCCACGAGTAGTCAACTGTCACCTTGGACAACTAAAGTTGGTTCCCCTGACCAGGCACCCAAGAGGAGCCAATTTCAACAGGAGGCAGCAGTAGCAGCTGAAACCCTTTCACAGGGGTAGGGGTGGGTGATCTTACGAGGAAGCAGGATGCTTTCCCCACCCCTCATTCTGTGCTTTCACCAAGGCCCCCCCTCCCCAACCCTGACAGATTCACATCATGAGCCCACCCCCTTTAAAAGTCCCCCTACCTCCAAGTCACACAGAGATGGGAACAGAGGCAGGCAGGATGAGCCAGTGTTTACCTGGACAGGAGGTTGGGGCCATTGGAAAGGTGTCAGAAGGCTCAGCAGAATAAAGAAGCCCCCAACAGTAGCTGAAGTCCAATAGGTGAAGGCAACAGCCACATAGGATAGGATAACCCAGGAAGAAGGTAGGCCCTGCTACCAGCCTCTACAAAACCCACTGTCTCAATGAAGTGAAACAGAGCACTCACTCTCAAGTACACCACATACTCAGTTCTTGATTAGCCAGGCTGTGGTTCATACACTGGATTGTGTGGACAGCAGTAATATGGCCTCCTAGTGGTCATGACCACCTAGGAGGTCCCTTTCTGTACTAGGCCACAGGGACATTGTGGCCTAGTACAGGAATCGTGACAGTTGACACACCACACCGGAGCCCATAGAGTTCATTAGAAAAAACTCAAACAAGTAGGTAAACACCACTCACACGGAAGCTATTGTTAGGGTTGCCTTACAGACAACGACTTCTGCATGAAGATGTAAGGGAAAAAGCAGACATGCTACTTCAATTCAGACCCTTCACCAAGTTTAGGGTTAGCGTTAAGTCCCGACTGGTCGACTTTAAGACATGTACAGTGCTACAAGACATCCACTTCCTCCTAAGCTTAACTCAACCATTCTAGGCTGATAAGCTAAATGTCGCCCTCGTCACATGCAAGCACCTAAAGTAAACTAGCCAAAACCCCCTTTTTTCAAATAAACAGTGGAGCATGTGCCATCATTCATCAAGCATAAGTAACTGCATTTTCTACATGGGCTGCATCCTCGATACAAGCATGCCAAGGATCAGAAGTCTTCATCACCAGACTGTCCTTAGAAATCTGGTGGATGTTTAACTGCAATTATGCCCTAAATTATTCCTCTAAATGCTGCTTCAAACTTATCTGCTTACAGCTCAGCCAATGCAATGCATATGCATGTCCCCCCTCCTCCCTTCTGATTTTCTGTTCAAAGGCCCAGGAATGGCAGATCTAGGTGTCCACAAACATATCACTAAGCCACTGAACTGGGTAACACACATCAGCAAAGTCTTCATCAGCAAATGTAACAAAACCACAACCATGAAGTCTGTCATGCCAGAAGGAAAGAACCATCACAAAACTACAAGACAGAAATAACATCAGCATTCTTATCCACATTATTATCATAAATAAGAGCCCAGCACCAGGGTGTCTGCAGAGTCAACCTCAGAAACTGAAGCAGTATCAGCAATCAGTCACAGCAACTGGGTGCCTGGTTGAGTATGGTTCTGGTCATTGCCATAAATAAGAGCCAGACATGGATTATCAGGATTCTCTTCCACAAGGAGACCAGAAAGGGGAGACAACCAGGTCACTTTCATGCTGCTAGTCCTCACCAACAAAGTACGTAATGTCAACTGTCTTTTGGTGATCATCCCTTACTCCACCTAGGTCACAGCCCTAGGGTACAGTTTGCCCAAAACTAACATCCACCCACAATGATACCCCCACCAACCTCCACCCACAACTAGACTCCCAGCAACAACAGCTTCCCCCCCCCTCCCTACTAGAGTGGCATTTCAATAACCTCCAACATCTACCCACACATGGGGGTATAATTGAAAGTTAAGGAAACAGTCAAGTCATAGACATGTCAGGAAGTATTTCTTCAGCTTCTGGGAAGTCAGGAATAGGAACGATCTTGGTAAAGAAGTGGAGGCGGCAGGCTCCATATGTAGTTTTAAGACAAGATACGACAGGGTCCACAAGGCTAGGAGAGAGCGAGTCTGGCAAGCAGCAAGTTTAGAGATGGGGTCAGGAGCCAAGACCTGACCCCCAATACTGAGAGGTATATACATACTGACTTTTTATTTTTACATTAATACAAGAGCATTAAAGTGCTAAACCCATATGGGGTCATACAGTGCCTCAGGACTGAGAAACACTCAGGTTCAACCCAAGGAAGCAGAGCATAAGTCCTATTCCTGAGATCAAGGAACCTCCCCTTGAAGAGAGACAGAGTACATTTAGGTTGGTGAATACTACTTTAACAAGCTCCCCCACCCTCAGATATTACCACCTCCATTAGATCTTTTCCCTCAGGTCTTCACCTCCCTACACCCATGAACACCACCCACATTCATGCACAACACCCACCCACAACCCCTACCACATTCACCCACAACCACCAACACCACATTCACCCACACCCACACCACATTCACCCACAACCACCAACACCACATTCACCCACAACCACCAACACCACATTCACCCACAACCACCAACACCACATTCACCCCAACCACCACCACCCCACAATCACCCACAACCACCACCACCACATTCACCCACAACCACCACATTCACCCACAACCACCACCACCACATTCACCCACAACCACCACCACAATCACCCACAACACCACCACATTCACCCACAACCCCCACATTCACCCACAACCACCACCACCACATTCACCCACAACCACCACACCACATTCACCCACAACCACCACCACCACATTCACCCACAACCACCACCACCACTTCACCCACAACCACCACCACCACATTCACCCACAACCACCACCACCACAATCACCCACAACCCACCACAATCACCCACAACCACCACCACATTCACCCATAACCACCACCACAATCACCCACAACCACCACCACATTCACCCACAACCACCACATTCACCCAAAACCACCACCACAATCAACCACAACCACTATATTCATCCCAACCACCACCACATTCACCCACAACCACCACCACATTCACCCCAACCAGCACCACATTCACCCAAAACCACCACCACAATCACCCACAACCACCACCACATTCACCCCACAACCACCCCACAATCACCCACAACCACCACCACAATCACCCACAACCACCACCACATTCACCCACAACCACCACCACAATCACCCACAACCACCACCACATTCACCCACAACCACCACCACATTCACCCATAACCACCACCACAATCACCCACAACCACCACCACATTCACCCACAACACCACCCACATTCACCCACAACCACCACATTCACCCAAAACCACCACCACAATCAACCACAACCACCACTATATTCATCCAACAACCACCACACTTCACCCACAACCAGCACCACATTCACCCACAACCAGCACCACATTCACCCAAAAACCACCACCACAATCACCCACAACCACCACCACAATCACCCACAACCACCACCACAATCACCCACAACCACCACCACATTCACCCAAAACCACCACCACAATCACCCACAACCACCACCACAATCACCCACAACCACCACCACAATCACCACAACCACCACCACATTCACCCAAAAACCACCACCACAATCACCCACAACTCCCCACCACATTCACCCACAACCACAAACACATTCACCCAAAACCCACAAACATCACCCACAACCACCACCACCACATTCACCCACAACCACCACCACCACAATCACCCACAACCACCACCACATTCACCCACAACCACCACCACATTCACCCACAACCACCACCACAATCACCCGCAACCACCACCACAATCACCCACAACCACCACCACATTCACCCACAACCACCACCACATTCACCACAACCACCACCACATTCACCCACAACCACCACCACAATCACCCGCAACCACCACCACAATCACCCACAACCACCACCACATTCACCCACAACCACCACCACATTCACCCACAACCACCACCACAATCACCCACAACTCCCCACCATTATTCACTTCACAACCACCTAAAACAAAAAAATACGCTAAATCACATTATATTATAATTTTATAATTTGTTCCCATTTCTTAAACAAAACAAAAACAACACACAAAAACCTTGCACAAAGTGCCAAGGTAGAAACTACAATAAAGAAGGTCAGTATACCGTTGCCACAGCCTACCGGATGTTACTTGTTTTACCTACCTAGCCAGTCTAAAAAAAAATATTAATATGAAGTACTTGCGATAGAGTTTAAAGTTGCCCTGGGTGGCACCAGCGGCAGGCTAGCTCGCTGCAGGTGCCATTGAGGGTCAAAAAGTGGCACTTAGTGAAGAGTCAGCTGATCAGCCGAGACCCAGTGACCCTGTGGGTCAAGCCACTCCCTCCAGCCTTTCCTGGTAATTATGTCTCCACCGGGTTATCTCAGGGGTGATGATGGCCACACCTACGTCCTCTCCTACACCACACACCTAATTACCAGCACCTCAAGTGCCAGCAGTGCCTGGCACACATAGTAAACAAATCCAACGCATAAAGCAACCCCCTCCCCTAGTAAGCAAGGTGCCATATACCTGGCTCTCCTGGACCTGCCAGGTACCTTATTAACCTACACTACCTACCACTCACCCACAAGGTGAACACCACAGGTGGTGAAGGCTCACCTGACTCACTATATCCGCCACGTAAGGCTCTTGCCTACTCAAAATGGCGAGAACTTCCGCCCTGGCTGACTGAACACTTACAAATGAACGAGAGGGAGGAGAAAGGAATGTCCACTCACACAGAAAATGGGAAAGCATTAAGTTTTCTTTAATTATTTCCCATGGGGACTAAGTAAGACAATAAGTGTGCTTAATTATGATCATATTCACAGGGAACCCTAAAGTCACACACACTTGTGGCAAACATCTGCCAAGTACACAACACCTGTACCTCTTCCAGAGAACACCTGTAGCAAACATCTGCCAAGTACACAACACCTGTACCTCTTCCAGAGAACCTGTAGCAAACATCTGCCAAGTACACAACACCTGTACCTCTTCCAGAGAACACCTGTAGCAAACATCTGCCAAGTACACAACACCTGTACCTCTTTATTTATTTATTTATTTATAAATTTTAGCATACATACAGAGGTACAAAAAAATACAGGTAAGAGCAGCATGCCAAAGCCACTTATATGCATAGCATTACGGGCTGGCTTAAAATTAACTTAAGATTAACTAAGCAATGATGAAATCAGTGATAAGACATTATTGTAAACAGATAACTATAAAATACAAATGAGTATTACAAAGACAGGTCATGTGGTTGCATGCATTGCTGTTCATTCAGGTAGTGTATTTAAAAAAAAAATAACAAAGTTAGGTTTAACATTTGTGTGATATAATTGTGAGTAACATTTAGGATATACAATTTATATGGTTCAGTTATTCAGTATTTATTTGGTTTTGAGTGAATAAGTGAACTTTGAGAAGAGACTTGAATTTATAAACAGGTAGTGTTTCTTTTATATTTACAGGTAATGAATTCCAGATTTTAGGGCCTTTTATGTGCATTGAGTTTTTGCATAGTGTGAGATGGACACGAGGAACATCAAAGAGTGATCTGTGCCTTGTATTATGGTCATGTGTTCTGTTGAGGTTGGCAAGGAGATGTTTGAGGGGAGGGTTAATATCAGAGTTAAGTGTTCTATGTATGTAATAGGTGCAATAATAAGTATGGATGTTTTGTATGGTGAGTAGGTTGAGTGTTTTGAATATTGGTGGAGTGTGCTGCCTGTAGTGAGAATTTGTTATCATTCTAACTGCAGCCTTTTGTTGGGTAATTAGTGGTCTGAGATGGTTAGTTGTTGTTGAGCCCCATGCACAAATTCCAAAGGTGAGATAGGGGTAAATAAGAGAGTGATAAAGGGCCAGGAGGGCTGAGTGTGGAACATAGTACCGTATCTTCCATAGTATGCCTACAGTCTTGGAAATTTTCTTAGAAATTTGTTGTATATGTGTATGAAATTTGAGTCTATTATCGAGGTGGATTCCTAAGAATTTTCCCTCTGTTAGCTTTGTGATAGGTGATCCGTTTATCGTTATGTTAAGAGGTACATCTGTAGCTCTGCTACCAAACTGAATGAAGCAGGTTTTGTCAATGTTTAGTGTAAGTTTGTTAGTCCTCATCCAGGTAGATATTTTCTGTAATTCGGTGTTTACAGTATTGGCTAGCGTGACTGGGCTCGGGTGAGAGAAGACGTATGTGGTGTCATCTGCAAAAAGTGTGGGTTTGAGTAATTGCGAAGCATTTGGTAGGTCATTTATGTATAGGAGAAAGAGAAGAGGGCCAAGGACACTTCCCTGTGGGACACCAACTGTAATTGGTTGTGCGGAAGAGCTTGCCCCATTTGCGTACACATATTGGCTTCTGTTGCTGAGGTAAGACTTGAGGTAGTTGAGGGAGTGCCATCTAATACCATAGTGTGACAATTTTACGTGGAGCAAGTCATGGTCAACTGTATCAAATGCTGTACGTAAGTCAATGAAGATTCCCAGGGGGACTTCTTTTTTCTCGATTGCAGTGTATATATGTTCAAGCATGTGTATAATAGCATCATTAGTATTTTTATTAGGCCTGAATCCAAATTGGCAGGGGTTGAGAATGTTATGGGAGATGAGGTAGGAGTAGATTCGTTTATGAATTAATTTTTCAAAGATTTTTGAGAGAGGGTGTAAATTGGATATTGGCCTATAGTTATTCAACTCTGTTTGGTCTCCTCCTTTATGGATCGGGGTGACCCTTGCTATTTTGAGAACTGTAGGGAAGGTGGAGGATTCAATGGATTTGTTAAAGTGTTGCAATGATTGGTGATAGTACTTGTGACGCTTTTTTGTATATAAAGGGTGGTAAGGTATTTAAATCTCCTGCCTTGTTTTTCAGTGCGTTGATAGTAAGGGAGACTTCATATGGGTTAGTCGGTGCTAGGAACAGTGTGTTCGGGTAGTTGCCAGTGAGGTAGTCATTTGGTGGGGATATTATTGGCAAGGTTTTGACCTATAGTGGAGAAGAAATCATTGAATCTGTTTGCTGTTTCTGTTGGTGGGAGTTGGGGTTCATCTGATTTTGCTAATTTTATTTCGCTATGTCGTGATATCTTTTTTGTTCCCAGAATTTCTGATAGGGTCTTCCAGGTCTTTTTTATATCACCTCGTAAGTTGGATAATCTGTTCTCATAATACAATTTTTTTGCCCTTCTTATCAGGCTGGTTAGGATTGACGAGTAACGTTTTGTTTGGTCTCTGGTTATGTGACCCATTCTGTACTGTTTTTCATATTGGTGTTTTGTATTAATGGATTTGAGAATGCTGGGTGTTAGCCAGGGACTGTTCAGTCTCTTAGCTGTCATCTGTTTAGTTTTTTTAGGGCAGTGCTTATTATAGAGGTATTGGGTCTTTTTTAGAAAATTATTAAAACATTCGTCAATATCTGTATAGATTTCTAGCTCAGTGTGCCAGTCAATGTTTGTTACTGCTGTTGTGAAGTTATTAATGGCTGCCTCATTGTGAAGTCTGAAGGTTACTTTAGTAGTGTCTTGGGGTATTTTACCAAGAGTTGTTATGAGGAAAGTAGGGTAGTGGTCTGTGGTATTATCTGTAATTATGCCTGATTTTAAAGGGGATATGGTGTTGGTCCAGATGTGGTCAAGTAGGGAAACACTAGTCTCTGTAACTCTTGTAGGTTTTGTTACTGTTGGTAGCAACATGCAGTTACTCATTGTGTTTGTGAATTCAGTAACGTGTGGGTCCTGGTCTTGCAGGAGATTTATATTGAAGTCACTTGAGAGTAGTAAGTGATCTTTGTTCATGCGTGCATCAGTTATCATACTTCCTAGGTTTTGACTAAATTGGCTAATGTTTGATTGTGGAACTCTGTAGATGTTTATCACTGTGAGAGGTTTTTGTAGGTATTTTGATTTGAATTTAGCTATTATATATTCCCCATATTATATATTCCCCAAGTGTGCTTAATTATGATCATATTCACAGGGAACCCTAAAGTCACACACACTTGTGGCAAACATCTGCCAAGTACACAACACCTGTACCTCTTCCAGAGAACACCTGTAGCAAACATCTGACAAGTACACAACACCTGTACCTCTTCCAGAGAACGCTTGTGGCAAACATCTGCTAAGTACACAACACCTGTACCTCTCCCAGAGAACGCTTGTGGCAAACATCTACCAAGTACACAACACTTGTACCTCTCTCAGAGAACACCTGTAGCAAACATCCGCCAAGTACACAACACCTGTACCTCTTCCAGAGAACACCTGTAGCAAACATCTGCCAAGTACACAACACCTGTACCTCTTCCAGAGAACACCTGTAGCAAACATCTACCAAGTACACAACACCTGTACCTCTCCCAGAGAACACCTGTAGCAAACATCTACCAAGTACACAACATAGGTCATGCAACACCTGAGTAATGGGAAGCTCAGTAATTATGAAGATTATGTTCCTTGTGTGAGTTTGACTAAGAAGATTCGTTCGGATTTTTAACCCCGGAGGGGTAGCCACCCAGGATAACCCAAGAAAGTCAATATTAGGTTAGTACAATCTCTGACAATTACTTATTAATGCCCTTCAATAACCAAACCTACAGAATTACAGACGGCTGCAGCTTCACTTAATTACACAGGGACAAATACATCAGCCTCTCAGACAACAGGAATTACCACAGACTTAATGAGAATGATTTCTTGTCCAGCTAACATTCATGTACCTATTACTGCTAGCTGATCCTTTCATTAATGTAAATAATTCAGTTTACTTTATTCCTATTATATCTCCTTTTATTGCAGCTGATTTTAATAGTTTAGTTACTTAGTTGTTTTATTTTTAAAGGTTTAGATAATAAGACATTACAAGGACCTTAATGGAATTAAGTCACTGACTTTTTTGGGTTAGGAAGTTTATTTTAGGTACAGGTATACCTAGGTACAATTATCATACATTGTGTATATTACCTAGGATATTGTACCTATGTGTGCCTGTGCCTAAATAAACTTACACTTCCTCACCTCTTCCTTCTCACCAGTTTATTAAAACAGCAGGAATTACCACACTGCTACTGATCACTACCCTCACACATTCCTACTCACCAGTAATAAAATTACCAATGATACCATGGGTGGGCTTGAACCCGTTTTATGATTTGTTTGCAATGGTGTTAAACTGGCAAAATCTCCAGGCTGCATGATGAGGCATCAGAAAATAAATTCATGGCAGCAGTCAGCAACGATGACTGGCAGACAGAGTTCCACAGTGACCAGGATATTACACTAGAGTGTTCATGTATTCCTTCAAACAATATGAAGCCTTCATAAGATAAGATTTGTTTTTATAACCCTGGTGAGGGCCAGGCACCCAGCATTACCCAAGAAAGTCAGTACGTCATCGAGGACTGTCTTATTTCCTTTGTAGTCCTTTAATCTTGTCCCCCAGGATGCGACCCACACAGTCGACTAACACCCTGATAAGTACCTACTTACTGCGAAGTGAACAATGACAGAAGGTGTAAGAAAACGCCCAACGTTTCAACCCGTACCGGGAATTCAACCACGAACACTCAGTGTGTGAGGCGAGAATGATGCCAACCAAGCCAACCAAGAGAACTCTAGAACTGCAGACACATTCATCACCTTCAAAACTACCATTAGAAAAACATCTTATCTCCCTGATACACCCCGTCAACTAA